GAATAGAAGAAGAAGTAGAACTACTTCTTCTCTCTCTCTCTCTCTCTCTCTCTCTCTCTCTCTCCCCTTCGTGCTATAGAGTTTTGCTATTATAAGCGATACGGTGGAATGGAACAAAGTGATGGAAAAAGAGACGAAATGAGCTGAAAACTCAGAGAGAAGGAGAGGCAAGGGAAAAAAAGACAGATTTCGATCGTGTTTAAACGGTGGTAAGGACGGTAGCGCGTTAATGTCCGTGTTTGTGTATCTTTTATTTTGGAAGCGCCAATGCAATGGCCCCACCCATCCCGTTGGGCAGGCTGGCAAGCGTTCAACACAAGTAAGTCAACAATGGCAATAGCGGACTTTTCGTCGTCTTCGTTCTCGTCGTTTTCGTCCTCCTCTTCCTCAGTGATCTCGTCGTCATCGTCAACATGGACAATGTCATCGATAGCCTCGAGATTCGACCTTCCAATAAGATAAATACGACGAAGTTAGTTTCTTCAAAGTCGAAAAGAAGAAAGGATAGCGGTCGAAGGTGTTTATATCTCGTTTATTCGATAAAAGACGATATTAGATCTTTTGAAGAGATGATATCTTAGGAAGAAATTGTTTAAAAATTATATCGACGAATTGTATCGATAATCACGGTCCATCGATAATTCTTGACGATCAATGTGTTCATTGACGAGCCAAATGGTGTCACGATCGACGATCTAAAAACACAGATCTCTTGGGGCATCGAAACAGCAACAGAAAGTTAAACTTTCTCGATTCGAAGTTGGAGACGGAGATCTTTTAAGTGTCGGAATATAGAATGCAACTTTGCCAAAGCTAGTGGGCGAGGTTTGATTCAACGAAGTAAAACGATCGGTGTCGATCATGTTTACCGAAGTAGGTCAATGAGACAGACTATTTCTAAACGATCGTGAACATATGTTTTTACAGCGACGAGTGCGCAGTGTTTTGCAAACGAAACTACTTGTTGTATTGAATGAATCCTTCCACGAAGGATTAAAAGTTTTTAGAAATAGAGGGACAACACAGTTCTACAGTGTATCGATTGAACTCCATTGAAATAACCGATACAAACTTCACAACAGATTATTCATCATTATATGTAATACTACGTACACATATAAAAAATTTGTAAAAATTGGAAATGCTTATTTTTTTCTATTTTTTATCAGTAGTATTTTTAGAAATAATTTTTTAAACTCAAGTTTATGATCAGAAAATAATAATCTTAATAATAATCAGATAATAATAATAATCTCTGGTTTTTATTTACTATAAATAATATTATATAATATATAAGATAATATGAAATTAAATAATTAAAAATTATTTAATTTTATTAATTATTATTTTATATTAAATTATTATAATTTTGAATTATTTGTTATTATTTAATGAGACTTTCTATTTTTATATTTGGATTTCAAGAATTTCGAATTTAAAAATAAAAAAAAAAAAAAAGAAGAAGAAAAGAAGAAGTTTCGATAAATTTCAAAGTTACGAAGTATAATATTCCTAATTTCGATCATTATTATTTTAAATTCTTATCGATAAAGTTTGTATCGATCATTTTAATGGGATCAATTAAGGACGCTTTATATAGAGGGCGTGGTCCGTGATTCTTATAGTATAGATGGCGAGTGTACAGTACGCGATTTCGATGATGTATCCTTGTAGTCTTTCCAATGCGACAACCAATATAAAATTTATCATATTCGTTGATCTTCGGAACGTGGTTAGAACCACGTTATCAAGATTACATCACAATCACAAATGACATGTGATTTATTTTTAGAACATTTTTTTGAAAAATCCAATTGAAGATAATGCGTTATTCGCATTGAAAAATGAATTTTCGCTATCCTTTTTTTGCCTTAACATTCCTTCGAAATAAGCTCGAATTCACTGGTTCTCATTTCGATCACAATGGATCACGGGAACAGATGGATCGAGCACGATCGTATAGATTATATTCCTCCATCCCACTAAAACACGATTTGTACATAGACTAAATCTACATCGACGGCAGGACGATGGTTCTCGGCCGGCGAAACTCACGCAATTACGCAATCAACCGGAAAGAACCGCGAAAACGAAGTCGCAGCAGTTGCACGATCCGATTTCCTTCGAGCCAAACTTGAGGAAACCCACGAGGAGTCAAAATCCATTGCGCTAGGCGATTTCAACGGTGACAGTGAATATCCTGTATATACCGTGACTGTTTGCTGAATTACAGAAAAATCGGATGACTAGAGCGTGGCTGTAAGGTAAATCCAAATAAATCGGTTATGTCAATGTTATGGGGCTAATCAAGGAACAATTAAGATGCGCCAATATCGATCGAGCGTACTGTACATTTCGTGTTCGCGCGCGAACTTCGATTACAGTTATTTTTTTTTTTTTTTTTTTTTTT